ACACACACACATACATACATACACACACGAATTTGTTGGTTTTTATCATAATAAATCTGCCTGACTTCGGTTTGAAGTTCTATGTTCACAGTAGGCACAAAGTGCAGTTCCGTAGCAGTGACCGTGGGGATACCGCGGAACAGTTGGCTTGATTACACAGAAAACCTGATTTTGGAGTTCACTGGGATCTAGCTCATGCGGTTAACCCTCCTGGTGCACCTGCCCCTGGAAAAAATGGAAAAACTGGGAAAAATTGTCGGCAGTAAATATGAATGTAAATTTTGTTGTGCAATAATTTAACTATACCAGTTTTTCAATATCTACTTCTATAAGTCAATTTATTTATTAATTTTTACCTGTCTTTTGGTTAAGCGAGGGCGTGGAACTGGTGCAAGATTCCTTTTCGGTAAGTGCGAATGTTGTTGCTTGCCCTTCACGCCAATGGCATTTGTCCATGATCAAAATTATACAAAGTATTTCACTTCATTGAATCCACTGGGCTTAATGAACGTCAGGGAGGCATCAGCAATGCTCACGAGGGTCGGCATCTCGAATTAGCTGCCGAAGAACCACTTGCCAATGAAAAACGCTCGCAAAAAGGAAGAAGATTGGGGGAGTGTCGAATTGCGTTTCTGGCGCATTAACACAGGGAAAACAGGAAATGATGTACAATTAAAGGAAATATTACTGGCATCTATTTATTCTATTCAATTGTGGATAGAGATTTCCAGTTCGTATATCAGTGCCGAAAAACTAGTTTTTCTCTTTCGGTCTTTATCAAAAAAATGTTCCCAGCTCTTGGTTCAAATAAGAGATAAATGCTAGAAGGTCTATTGCATTTTTTTAAATCAAGCAGCCACGAAGGCCTGTAAAACCATAAAAGCCTCATAAAATTTAAGTATTGAAGATATGAAGCCTGAAGTCTGACAGATTTCCTTACGTCATTAAGATACTTATGCTTGGAAAGCATGCATTCAGTAACAATTACCGCTTTATTTATTTCTTTACGGATCACGTTATGTACTGATCTAGTCACCATTCCGATAAATGAAGGCGGATTGCAACCGTAAAGATAATGAAACATGAAAAAATAGCAGATATAATTCTCTCAGTTGCACCATAAGCATCACAAGAACACCATTTTCTACCTACTGTTTCGAAGATCACCGACCTGCTATCCGTCTCTCAAGTGGTTTCAATGAAGCATGGTGAGGTGAATTACTAAATTATTCGGTTAAGTCTATTAGCAATTAATAAGAAAATTTATGTCA